TTTAAAATAGCACCCCACATCCCTAATGTTGGTATTGTGCTGAACTTAGTTCATTTCTAAGTGGTGTTCTTATTATCCTGCTTTTAAAATAATATTAGGGATTATCATATGATCCTCATATCCGCAGGAGTGGTACCCATGGTATCACTTACGCCCAGAAAATATTTATAGGCGACTTCCTCCTGTCTCTTCAATAACAGAGCCAATAGCTCATATCCAAAGCAAAACAATTTAAAGAGGAAATTTATTCAACACATGTCTTGCTTTGGAACTGGCTGTAGTTTCAGGCCTTGCCAACTGATCTAGCACTAAACACACACATATAATATCACTAGAACATAAAACATTATTGACAGTAAATGGTGCAGCAGATGGTACACAGCAGAGAAGCATTCAAGCCCTTTCTCTGATAGAGTCCAGCACTCTCGAATTGGGTCCTCATACAAATCCTGCCCAAACTTAAGACTAACTAGATATATACAGCACCTACATCAGGATGTGATCCCTCCCAGATCATGGCAAATAGAAGATGGACACTCAGAGGGATTACATTGTTCTGAATCAACTAAAATCAAAGTGCCAGTGGGAGTTATTGCAGCAGTAATGACATCTGTGCGAACAGATTGGTAAAAGAAAAGAGTTAACTCCTCAAGCTGGTTCTCAGTTTTGTATCTTTTCCAAGCCCAAAGTGCAAAGCAAATCCAAAAGTATCCAACAAAGTCATTAAATCAAGTTAACTTTCATTCCACTGAATGTCTGGCTATGATGGTCAAAAGGACTGCAGAATTAAAATTAAGGCAGTCCCCGAGTTACAAACATCTGACTTACAAATGACTCGTAGTGAAGAACGGGGGTGAGACAATAGGAAGTGAGAGAAATCAACCTCATGGAAGAGTTATTATCATGGGGAAAAGGTCTCCACTGAAGCTTTATCACCAATCCTTGTTTCCACAACAAGCCATATTTTTCAAAATCCAACGATCACAGGGACAGAAAGTGAAGGGAAATCTTCTGAACAGGGGCACAGGCAGCAAAACAAACACCACAGGGATGTTAACCCTTCACTGTGCTATCCAAAACACACAAACACATATATAGCGGGGGGGGGGGGGGGGAGAGAGACAGAGAGAATGAGTTTTGAATTGCACGTATATACATATCACCAGCGTTACTCTTAAAAAACTTACATGTAAATTCAACTTAAGAATAAACCTGCAGAACAATGGCAAGTATTATGGCAGAACTGACCAACAGTGAATGACTTACACAAATAATTAGATAACAAAGAACAGTTGCCTCAAAATGGGGGTAATGTTGACTCAAAGAAGCAAACTCACAAAACTGACAGGCTGTATCTACACAGTGGAATTGCAGCAGTTTGACACCATATTAACTGCTGTGGAATTCTGGGATTGATGATTTTATGAGAAATGTACCCATCTGTAAAATTACCCTAATTCTGCGGTGTGAGTGGTCCCAGAGTTTCAAGATCTAGTCTGTTGGTTGGGGTTTTGGGGAGACACCAATACTCTTTGACAGAGAAGGCTAAAGACCTTGTCAAACTACATCTCCCAGGATTACAAAGCATTGAGCCATGAAAGTTAAAAGTGTTGTCAAACTGCACCCCAAGAGGTATTGCTTGCCAACTGCAAAAGGTCACCCTGGGAGACAAGACCCTTTGCAGTTGGGAGGCTGCAGTACGCATTTACATCCAATAATTTAATATTCTAGGCCGCCTTCCTCATTCCCTCCTAGTATGTGTGTGGATTTGGCTAGGGAGGCCTTTTTGTTTAATCGCTGGCAAATCCCTCCTCTGCATTGTGCCAGAAAGGATTCTAGCTATTTCATGTAAAACACATGTGTCCTGGCAAAGATGTTTTGTAAATCCAAAGGACTTGACAACTGCCAGGTTTGCTTCCTACCCTTGTAGCTGAATATGGGCAAATAATATGTAACCAGACCATTTCATTCTTGTGACTGAGACTTTAATAATATTTGCTCTTCTAGATCAGAGGTTCTCGAGCTGTGTGTTGGCTGCAGTGTCTACAAGGAGAAGTGCCAAGTGGAAATTTATATTACCGTATTTTACAAATCATATATATGAAATGTTTTCTTGAGATATGTTGTGTACCTCTACATTTCATTATTACAATTTTTGTATGAGTCCGTATCTCTTATACGAGGTTGGTCTAATCTACGATTTGCTGGTAAAACCGAATTACGTGTCGCAAAATGATGCCTGTCTAAAAAATGTGCCCCCAACATGAAATGTCTGAAAAGCTCATAACCTTTTAGAGAAGAGCCAAAAACCCATTTGAGTATAATCTTCTCAAGTGGTATACAACCAAATGTAAATATGCAAGGCAGTTGTTAGACTGAATGACCTGCTGTCTCTGATCTTTTAGGAAACAGAATATGCCAGTGCATTAAAAATATCCGTTCTTCAGATGTATTTTTCAGTGCCCAAAATGTACTCTCTCATAAGACAACTTGTTTTATATTATGCACTCAAGAGACAAAACAGACTTTGATTAAAAAATAACATATTTGGTTTACTCACAACCTTCATGTGTTCAGCATACACAGGTACACAATCAGTCAGTTACAGATATGTTTGAGATCATTTCTATGCCCAGCTCTTTAAGCCGCTCCTCATACGGCTTGTTCTCCAGACCCTTGATCATTTTAGTCGCCCTTCTCTGGACACATTCCAGCTTGTCAATTTTTCTCTTCAGTTGTGGTGCCCAGAATTGGACACAGTATTCCAGGTGTGATCTAACCAAGGCAGAATAGAGGGATAGCATGACCTCCCTGGACCTAGACACTATACTCCTATTGATGCAGGCCAAAATCCCATTGTTTTTTTCTGCCGTCGCATCACATTGTTGGTTCATGTTTAACTTGTTGTCCACGAGGACTCCTAAGATCTTTTTCACACGTACTGCTCTTGAGCCAATTCAGAATGGTTCCTTTGTTGTTGTTGTTCATTCGTTCAGTCGTCTCCGACTCTTCGTGACCTCAAAGTTCCTTTAACACTTTAAATATCAAGGCTGAAGACTTAAACTTATAATAGGAACCTCCCTACTCCAGCTCTCATACAGCCAGAGACATTTTCCCTTTAGCTCAACCGGCTAAAGACTGGCTCATATTGTAAAATGTCCACTCTTCTGTTGTCAGTTAGCTCCTCCCCTTTTTCCTCCTAGCTCTTCTGAAATGGATACATTTCTACTGCAGGTTTCGCTACTATGACAACGCATCAACCAATCAGCTGTAGCTAAGGCTGGCCTGCACTTACGACATACCAACATTAATAAACACATTCAAAACTTACATTATAATTAGATATCCCATTACACACCTCTTTCAAACAATGAAGTTATTTTTGAAGGGCAAGCATTTTCCAGACGATGAGACTCTGATTTCCGAAGTCACAATGTGGCTTTTGGAGAAACCTGTCGACTTGTACAACCGAGGCGTTTTGTTGTTGTTGTTCATTTGTTCAGTCGTTTCTGACCAGCCCACGCCAGAACGCCCTGTCGGCTGTCACCATCCCCAGCTCCTTCAAGGTCAATCCAGTCACTTCAAGAATGCCATCCATCCATCTTGCCCTTGGTTGGCCCCTCTTCCTTTTTCCTTCCATTTTCCCCAGCATAATTGTCTTCTCTAAGCTTTCCTTTCTTCTCATGATGTGGACAAAATATTTCATCTTTGCCTCTACTATCCTTCCCTCCAATGAGCAGTTGGGCATTATTTCCTGAAGTATGGACTGGTTGGATCTTCTCGCTGTCCAAGGCACTCTCAGCACTTTCCTCCAACACCACAGTTCAAAAGCATCCATCTTCCTTCGCTCAGCCTTCCTTATGGTCCAGCTCTCACATCCATAGGTGACTGTGGGGAATACCATTGCATTAACTATGCGGATCTTTGTTGCCAATGTGATGTCTCTACTCTTCACTATACCCTGCCCTTCTCCCCCTGAAAGGGGACTCATGCTTACATATTCCAAAAAAACACTTTCAAAATGACAGAAAATATAATTTTTTCCTCATTTTCATTGGAACTATTTTATCTTCAGAAATGCTAAAACTATGCTTTATGTTCAGATTGTAACAATAAAAATACATCATGCATATCAGATATTTACATTACAATTCATAACAGTAGCAAAATAGGACATGTGCAGTGTGCATAGGAATTTGGTCATCGTTTTTTAAAAAAAACTATAGTCCGGCCCTCCAACGGTCTGGGGGATAGTCCCCCCCCCCCGTTTAAAAAGTTTGAGGACCCCTGAACTATGCGGATCTTTGTTGCCAGTCTGATGTCTCTACTCTTCACTATTTTATCGAGGTTGGACATTGCTCTCCTCCCAAGAAGTAAGTGTTTCCTGGCTGCAGTCTGCACCTACCGTAATCTTTGCACCTAGAAATACAAAGTCTGTCACTGCCTCCACGTTTTCTCCCTCTATTTCCCAGTTGTCAATCATTCTTGTTGCCATAATCTTGGTTTTTTTTTATGTTTAGCTGCCACCCTTTTGCGCTTTCTTCTTTCACCTTGATTAGAAGGCTCCTCAGCTCCTCCCTGCTTTCGGCCATCAAAGTGGTGTCATCTGCATATAAAAGGTTAATGTTTCTTCCAGCAATTTTCACCCACAGGAAGTGGGTCAGGGGAAATCTTTAATGAACGCCCCTGGTACATGTAGGCTGTCCTGTCTGCCACAGGCAAGTAGGGAATAGTAAGCACAGTTTGGGCCCAGGATTGCAGTCTTCACAGGAGAATGGGTGCAGTGGAACTGCTGTGGTTGAATGCTATGGGAGAGTGGGAGTTGTGGGTTTGCAATGTCTTTCCCCTTCTCTGCCTCAGCAAACTCCAGCTCCCAGGATTCCCAAGCATTGTGTGGGCGGGGGAAAGCCGGCCTCAGGGCGCATGCGCGTGGTCGCCAGGGACACGTCAAGGCCAGAGAGTGAGGGAGGAGGGAAGGAGGCGGGCTCGCGACTGCTCCGCCTCGCGGCCTCCTCCTCCTCCCCCTCCCCCCTCCGGCCTCGTCAGTTGCCGGGTCAAAACAAAGCCTGGAGCCTGACGTGGCCTGGTTTCGTCTCTGCCGCCGCCGCCGCCTGAGAAGACGAGGAGGAGGAGGGAGAGAAGGAAAGGGAACCCTTCTCGGCGCCGCCATGGAGGCCCGCTACAACCTCAAGAGCCCCGGTGAGCAGAGGAGCAGAAGGGGGAAGGGTGGGCCGAGTGCAGGAGGGCTGCCGGTTTCCCCTGGAATGTGTAGGCACGGCGGGCTCGGCCCTCACGCGAGACCGCGGCGCCAGGCCTCCTCTAGGCCGCAGCACCGAGCCTCACCAACACCGCCTCCTCCTCCTTCTTTGGCCCCGCTGGCGTGTCTCTATACTGGGCAAGGGATGCAGTCTAGCACCACTCCAACCGCCATGGCTGTGGGATCATGGGATTTGTAGTTCGGGGAGGTACCAGCCCTCCTTGGCAGGGAAGACTTAAGCATCTTGTGGAACTACAAATCCCAGCATTCCATAGCCATTTGCTACATTCACACTTGCCTCAAGCAGACAAGAGTTGAAGAGTTTTCCTAGTTTCCAACAGACCTCACAACTGAATGGTTGTTGGTTTATCAGGCTGTATGGCCATGTTCTAGAAGCATTCCCTCCTGACGTTTCTCCAGCATCTTTGGCAAGCATCCTCTGAGGATTTTTGCCACAGATGCAGGCAAAACATCAGGGGAGAATGCTTCTTGAACATGGCCACAGAGCCCGAAAAACCTACAACAATGTGAAAAACCTACAATAACCCAGTGATTCCAGCCATGAAAGCCTTTGACAAGATCTCACAACTTCTGAGGCTGCCTGCCATAGATGCAGGTGAAACGTCAGGAGAGAATGCTTCTGGAACATGGCCATACAGCCCAGAAAATTCAGAACACCGTAGTGATTCCGACCACGAAAGCCTTTGACGATAGACGAGAGTTCTTTCTCCCACCTTGGACATTCCAGAGATATATAAACTTCACTTATCCTAGTTTCCAACAGACCCCTCAACCTCTGAGGATGCCTGCCATAGATGTGAGCAAAACTTCAGGAGCGAATGCTTCTGGAACATAGCCATACAGCCCGGAAAACTCATAGCAACCCATTCCATAGCAAGTTCGAGTGGTGTCAGTCTGCATTTTAATATTAAGCTGTCGAATTGTAAAAAATATCTTGTAATGTCTTTGCTTAAGTTCTCAGGATAGTGTTTTTGTTGGTATGAGCTTGAATGTTTGCCGTTGCTTATTGGAAACCACCCTGAGTCCCCACGGGGAGATAGGGCGGGATAGAAATAAAATTGTTTATTATTATTATCCTAAAGTGTAGAGCAGGCCTGGACAAACTTCAGCCCTCCAGGTGTTTTGTATTTCAACTCTTACAATTCCTAACAACCGAGAAATTGTGGGAATTGAAGTCCAAAACAGCTAGAAGGCTGAAGTTTGGCCAGGCCTGGTGTGGGGGAACCTTCAGTCACCTCAACCCTGGAGCGCCGTTTTTCTTCAGCCTCACAGCTTTGGCGTTGATTAGACATGGTTTTCATTTGGGTCATGGTGACCTGATGGTGGAATCACACCCTCTCTGCTTTAGACAACAACCCCTTGCAAGCAGTCCCCAAGTTACAAACATTCCAACTTACAAGCAACTCCCTAGTTAAGAATGGGGCTGGAACAACAGGAAGTGAGAGAAATCTACCCCTCTGTAGAGAAATTACTTCTGAAAGAGTTATTATCATGGGGAAAAGGTATCTCCACTGAAACTTTTTCACCAGTCCTAGTTTCCACAACAAGCCAATGTTTTTTCAAAATCCAATTCTCACAGGGAGAGGAAATGAGGTGAAATCTTCTGAAGAGGAGCACAGGTAGCAAAACAAACACCACAGGGGTGTTAACCCTTCCTTATGTTGTCCAAAGGTACAGGGTGAGGCAACATAACTTCCTTTTTTAAAATGCGCGCCATTCAGTCGGTTGAAGACGTAGCGGAGTGCTAGTGGTCTCATTCGAGAGGCGGGAATATAAAGTTTTGTCCTGACACAATTCAGTTGCCATCATGCATTGGAACAGTGAGGAGCATGCTTTTGCCATTGAGGCCTACTTTTCGAGCTTATTTGCAGTGGCCGGCCCACTCTCCAGATTTGGCCCCTTGTGATTTTTTTCCATGGGGCTTTTTGAAATCCCGTGTTTATGTGAACCATCCAAGGACCCTACAAGATTTGAAGAACAACATCCAGGAAGAAATTGCCAATATAACGCCTGTTATGATGGCAAGTCATGACAAATGCCAAAAATTGGTTTACTCAGAGTATAGAGAATGGGGGACGTCACCTACCTAATTTGATCTTCAAAACTACCTAAAACAAAACTTTAGGTATGCGCCTACATTATAAAAAAATAATTTCTGATTCATATAATGGGTTTTATTAAGTTTTGAAAAAAAGAAGTTATGCTGCCTCACCCTGTATATATGTGTGTGTGTGGCTGGAGTTACACTAAATGTATCTGTTCCAACTTACACATAAATTCAACTTAAGAACAAACCTACAGAACCTATTTTGTTCATAACGTGGGACTGCCTGTATATGCTTTTTCTCATTTCTTCTTATTTTAAGTATTGTGGAGCCAAGTAGCAACTTTTTGCTGTTTGTGTATATATGTCCCATCAAAAGACCTGTTGACTTGTGATGACCCCAGGAGAGCCAGGATGGTCCAGTAGTTTGTGTGTTGGGCGCAGGGTTTGGGGTCCTCACTCAGCCATAAAAGCCCGCTAGTGATGTAGTGGATTGAGCATTGGACTACAACTCTGGAGATCAGGGTTTGAATCCCCACTCAGCCATAGAAACCCCACTGGGTTACCTTGAGCAAGTCACACTTTCTCAGCCGAAGAGCAGATCTTACCAAGAAATCCCTGCAATAAGTTTACCTTAATTCAAAATGATCTGAAGGCACACAGCAACAAAACAAACTGTTGGTCTCACTCAAAGAAATCAAAATTTAAAAGATATGTGTTCAGTTGTTTTCATCTTCTGCTTCTCTCAAGAACCATCTCAGAATAATGTTCTAAAAATTGTGAGGGTGCAAGTATTGGCAATTATTAGGTTGCCTTAAGTAGGAGGAGCTTGAAGACATACAGCAAAAACAACAGTGTTGAAAAGGCTTTTCTTAGCCAATGTGGGTAGCTGCTCCCTGTCTCTGAAATATTGTATTCTGGGTACTACTAAGCAGGCCTGACCCTGCTTATCTTCTAGGCCAGTGGTCAAAATAGCACCTGGTTTTCTGTCCAGGGTTTCAGGCAAGAGGTATTTCTCGTTCTTAGCAGGATGTTCTTGGGTTTTGCTGTACATGTCTCATCTACTTCCTGACCAGATCTGACACTTAGCTTTTGGAAACAGACTAAATGAGCTATGTTCAGAGAGGTCTGATGTTGATAGATAGATAGATAGATAGATAGATAGATAGATAGATAGATGGTTCCCAACCTGTGGTCCAAGGACCAGTGGTCTCCAAGAACTAAAATATGGTCCGTGGTCTCACCGTTACTACACCTTTGCAACGAGAGCGACTGATCTCGCGAAACCCTCTTATAGTGCTGAGGCTATGAGGATGTTGGGAGGAGTTAGGCTAACCACGAAAGGCTCAACAACAAGCCTTCTGACTCCTCCTCCCAGTGAGTGGAGCAGTAACATTTGGCGCCTGGAAGTGGGATGCCTTTGTATCTTTGTTTTTAGACCTGTTCCTGGAGTTATTTGGGGTGCAAATTCAGAACATTGCATTGGATAGACCATATCAGCTCAAGATCATTAAATATGGTTTTCTGTGTGAGCAGATGGTGACTACTGATTGGTTTATCTTCTGTATCGGAAACTAGAGCTGATGTGGTCTATTAATGCAGTTGTTTGAATCTGCACCCCAAATAACCAAACTGAATTTCAAGTTAACCAAAAACTGATTCGTAACCCTTTTGGTACTAATGTTGGACAATGGTCCCCGGTCAAATTGGTTCCTGGTCAAAAAAAAGTTGGGAACCACTGTAGTAGATGTTACTTAGTTCCATTTGTTTGAACAGCAAACTTCTACTTTATAGAAATAACATGTTACCTAATTGAAATCATCTTCTAGTGTAAAAAACACGATTTTCTTGCCTGTTATTTGACATGCCATTAGAATTTTTTAAAAATGGTATTCTGTATTATTGGGAATTTTTGTGTCTGGCATCCATAGGGCTTGGGAAGGTTTTCACAGGCCCTACTCCTTGCCCGGTCTATCTCAGAAGTTGCTATTCAAGGTCAGGCTACTTTCAGGAATATGAGCCAAATTATCATTTAGCTGTAGCATGTAACACAGAGGGCAGATTGATAACACCTTCATTTGTGGTTGTTCCTTAGAAGTGGTGTTTAGACCCTATTACTTACTTTACTTACTTAGGCTATCCCTCGTAGCTCAAAGATCATTGTCTTCCAGATGTGGTGTCTTGGTGGCTGTGGAGCCCTATTCTTGATCTGCAAGATCAAAACCCTATACAACAAATGTCATTTTGTATTTCAACCATTTCCTACTGGATATGCAACATGTACCGTATTTGTTTTATAGATGTGTTTGGAAGCTGTGTACTATAGATATACAGCTTCCAAACACATTTTATTACAATTTATGTCCAATTTTATGTACACACTGAAGACTTTTAAAAATATTTTGTCTGAGGGGAGGATCACTCCTTATTCAGGTTTAAGCTCTTGTTGCTTTTCTGTGCTCATGTAGTGTTATTTCCTCCTCCTTTCAGCTGTTAAACGTTTAATGAAAGAAGCTGCTGAACTGAAGGATCCAACAGACCATTATCATGCCCAGCCATTAGAGGTTTGTCTATGTTCACTCTATAAAATAAATCTATACAAATTATGAGTTTACCATCAGTTTCACAAATGTGACTGTCCACCTATGGCTAGGAGTTTGTGGCATGTGAATGATGGTGGCATATAGACATGCATATAACTTAATGGGGGAGTGACATATGATAATGTAAAACGTTCATTTTAAAGAAAAGATAACTAAGTTATCATAAGCTCTAAAACAGGTCAAATAACAACAGCTGCTTCTGGCTTAGATTTTCTCAGGAACCAAAGAGAAGAGGAAATGTTTCTGCATTTATTTTTTTACCAATGCTTGAAAAGAGAGCAGTACATTATACAGAGAAAACATGGCCATAGTTGTAAACAAGCTTCCTTTCACAAAGATATAATTGAATGAATACCAGAGAGAAAACTCCTTTTGCCCAGAATCACTTATTTGCATCAAGACTGTTACACATATTTCCTCTTTCCTTCTGGCTCATCCTTTGTTTGATTCAAGACTCAGTGCAACACAGGCCTACTTGAGTTCTGTGAGGAAAAGCATGAGCTTGCTGCATTAGTAAAGTGCCATTTATACTCGGGAAATATCTAATCTTGCCAAGTTTTTCAGTAAAATCCCACAAAAGCAGTTTTCCTTTCAGGCAGCTGCAGGGCTTGCTGAATCTTCTGAATGAAATCATCTCATGAGAAATGGCTTGCTGTTTTTTCTGCCTCTTGACTCTCAGGCAAAGAAATCAAGACAAATGTACGGGAATCAGATAATCCTCTGGCAAAGTCCTTGCTGTGTATCCACCTGATTGCTAACAGGCTTCTAGGTCATTTGAGGGTAACTTCCAGCAGAGGCACCAGGTTCCCTACTAATGTGCAAAATCATTCATGTGGCTGTGCATTTGGGTTATGTAGATCATAATTGTGGGGTTTTATGTACCATGTGTCCTAATCACGGTCAGACTATTCTGTCTTCTCTGAAACACACATGTTCATAAGTACCGCCTGCACTGAGTGGCAAGTATTGCCTATTTTGCATAATGCAGAGGTGTAAAGAGCTTGTCTAGTGATCGTACATCAGGCATTTCTAAAAGGCACAAGGTAATAGTCATATGACCTCAGAGATGGGCAGTTAGGTATTATTGAGCTGGCATGTGACGTAGGTAGAAAAGTCACATTAATGCCTCAGATGTCCTGTTTTGCTCTTAAAAACAGCCTCAACACAAAATTGAAAGTAAAAGAAAAATGCTTTACTCCAGCAAACAAAATAAGCAAATGCAATTGAAAAAGAAAACAAGGAAGTCTTACTACAGACACCAATGAAAGTCTTTTGCAAAAGTCCCAGCAAAATCAGCAGACAATAAGGCACAGATCATGAAGTCCTTAACACAAAGCAGGTTCTGGCAGTAACAGAGTTGTTGTTAGCGAAAAGCTAAGTTCTCCTGCTTCTGATTTATATCCCATGCCGGAGGGCTTAGGGCATCACCCAATTAGCTCGTCAATCTTTTAGCCGCGAGCTCACCGCCGCCTGTTCTCTGACTCCCTCCGTCTTTCTAAAAAAGTAGGCACCTGCAAAGCCTCATTGTCGGATTCTTCTTCATCTCCCTCCAAGACCTGAGCACCTCCCTGCTCCCCTTCCTCTTCCGACGATGAGAAATCCCCAACATAGGGAGAGCAAAGTTACTTGCTTTTGCAAAAGCCTTCATTGAATAAAATATTAATTTAGGAATCTGAGATGTTTATTGTCCAGAAAGAACTTGGAACTTGTTCATGGTACCATTCCTAATTTTCTAAACTGATTTGAGGCAAAGTGCAGTATCACTTGTTCCTGGCACTATAATAATGTTGATTTCTCTTACTGAACTCACAATTAAGGATAATGCCAATATTCATGCTTTGTTCAAGTGACCTTCTAATTAGAATTCACTGCCATGAATTCCAAATCCTGGCTAACACAAACAATAGATTCTAGTTAGCAGTAATCATAGTTAATGTCCTAGGCATTAATAATTATGGTTAAAACTAGTGGAGAGAGAAGCTTCTGCAAAAGGCAGTGTATGATCTGTGGCTAAGGGATTAGAAAAAGAGAATATACATTAGTCTATGTTAGAACTGATTTAATAAATAATCAATCTTAGTTTAAATGAGGTGAGTTTTCATTTTAATATTTGCTTGAATTCTGGTTGTATCACATATATTATTTTGTAGCAAGTTTGAAATGTTAGTTAAACTTTGTTTGCCAGTTCAAGTATTGTGTTGATGCTTGAAGCCAATAAGAAATTATTTGCACAGCACATCTTTTGTCTGTAGAAGTAGCAGCAATTAATGTGAGAAGCATATCATTTAGTTCCAGACTTAATTTGATAAGTTTGAAATAGGTTGTTGATATTCTCAGTGCATGTTTAATATTATTTTGCAGGATAATCTTTTTGAGTGGCACTTCACAGTCAGAGGCCCTCCAGATTCAGATTTTGATGGAGGAGTTTATCACGGACGGATAGTTCTGCCACCAGAATATCCTATGAAACCACCAAGTATTATTCTCTTAACGGTAAGATGGCTCAACAACCAATCCATAAAAGCACAACCACTGCCATTAAATATGTTGTAAACTCAAACAATTGGAAGAGTAATTTTAAAAATACTGCAAGCATGGTTCTTGTGCTTCTAGTCTTCCCCTCTGTGTCCTTTGCAACTAACCGAACTGAATGTATTAGATTTTGTCCAGGAAGCACTGGAAGGGTCCCAAGCAAGCAAGCAAGCGAAAGAAAATGATCTTTCTTCTCCTCTGACCTGTAAATAGGTCGATGTTTTTTTAATGAATTAAAAAATACTGTAAATACCGGAGCAAATTAATAAAAACTGGGTGGATGGGTGGGTGGTGGATTGTGTTCATTTGTATTTGGAACTTTAATAGTTGCACTGAAACCCTCTGACAATAGTTGCACTGAAAACAATTGGGTGATGTGTTACATACAGGGAATACTAATGGTGCTTGTCCAATTTACTGTATTACAATAATGTATTTCAGCGGTCGGGAACCTTTGGCTCTCCAGGTGTGGTGGACTTCAACTCCCACAATGCCTTGAGGCTCGGCACTAGCGGCCGGGGCCGAAGCGGCGAGGAGGCGCGTTGCCCGCAGGGGTTTCCGCCTGCTCTCTCCCTCCGAGGCCAGCCTTTGCTGCCCGTCCTCCATGAAAAAGAGGCTCTTTTTCATGGAGGACGGGCAGCAAAGGCTGGCCTCGGAGGGAGAGAGCGGGCGGAAACCCCTGCGGGCAACGCGCCTCCTCGCCGCTTCGGCCCCGGCCGCTAGTGCCGAGCCTCAAGGCATTGTGGGAGTTGAAGTCCACCACACCTGGAGAGCCATAGGTTCCCGACCGCTGATGTATTTGAACTGGCCTAATATTTTAAGTTATTTAAACAAATGAATTGAAAACTTTTTTTCTACTTGTTGAAGGCTAATGGCAGGTTTGAAGTGGGAAAGAAAATTTGTCTAAGTATCTCAGGACATCACCCTGAAACATGGCAACCATCATGGAGCAGTAAGTATCAGCTGATTCTGGCCATCAGGGACCTTCTTAAATAACTGAATCTATTGAACAACATCCTAAACTGGACAGTAGGCCTTTCCTTGCAGTGTGTTACATTTTTGCTTCACTCTAGGAATTGATTACATTTGCACTTTATTTATTTTTTTAAATCAGCAGGTTTATCCAGTATCCCATATGGATTTCTGTTGATGAAACTGGATTTTCCCTTTCTGTCCTTACTTGCGTTACTCCTGAAAACTACCTCTCCAAAATCTGTCCCAGAGGGTCTCTGCTGGTGGGTGGAGAATATTGGGTACAATCTGGATTGCTTGCATGTTTGACTTTTGTGCTTCAGTAGGATTCCTTTCTCACTGTTGGTTAACCTTCATATTTCTCTTCTCTGACTACAGTACGAACTGCCTTACTTGCTATTATTGGATTCATGCCTACGAAAGGGGAGGGAGCCATAGGATCTCTAGACTATACACCCGAGGAAAGAAGAGCACTTGCTAAGAAGTAGGAGTTTTACTTTTGAGTTTAAGTGATGTTTTTATTGCTAATTATTCAAGGCTTATTTCAGTGTTCTTTGAATAATCTTGAGCTGGAACTAACAACTGGATTTAGTCCTCTGATTTTTCAGGTAGAATAGGCAGAATTATTTTGTTTTGTTCCAGAAAATTTTAATCCCAGTGCTCATTTCTCTCCCTTCCTGGAATATCTTCAGAATTTTGTTCATTGTGATTCTGACACCATTTCATACCGGTCTGGCAAGGAATGGCTCCATCCCTCTCTTTTTTCTTTCTTTTCAAATTTCCACTTATGTCCTCTAAGTGGTGTAAATTGACATTTGGCACCACAAACCTCCGGCATGTGGTTGGCATGACAGCGTGGAGCACCATTACTTTCACGCTGAAGCAGTACCTATTGATCTACTCACTTTTGTATGTTTCCCAAACTGCTAGGTTGGCAGAAGTTGAGGCTAACAGCGGGAGTTCACCCTGCTCCCTGGTTTCAAATCACTGACGTTCCGGTCGGCAGGTTCAGCAGCTCAGCAGTTTAACCCACTATGCTACCAGGGACTCCAGAGTAATTTTTTTCCCGTAACAGTTAAAATTGAATCATAATCCTTTGATTCTGTAGTATGATAGAACCTCTGTAGGCTATAATACTCAGGACACCAACTGAAGAATACAATCACAGTGTGTTTGTTCATGCCCCCCCCCATCCGAAGCCAGTTGTATTGAAATTAGGATTTAAATTAATGCATTTTCTGCACATTTTGTTTCTTGAACATTTTTATAGTGATAATTGCTTTCTTCACTTTTTCTGTGAATAATGTAGGGTTTGCCTATAGATATATATTTATAGTACCAGACTGAAAATATCATTCCCCCCCCCCCCCAATAACGGTAGATCTGTGTCTAGTTATATCATTTAATACATGTGCAAATTGAGTAGGAAATCTGGTGAGCATGATTACTGTTGAACACTGTTAAAGTAATGTATATGTTTCTCTAACCTTCCAGGTCTCAGGATTTCTATTGTGAGGGATGTGGATCACTTATGAAAGAAGCTCTCTTACCATTAACATCCGGAAGTGCCTCAAGTCAGGCTGCTGATAAAGAGGCCAAGGAACTTGCTAGGCAAATTAGTTTCAAGGTAGAATAACTATTTGTTCTTTCCCTCCTCCTACATAATTGGATGAATGTTCCCATGCTTAAAGTCAGCTGATCAATTCTCTTTGGATGGAAAGAATGACAGTAGCATGGAATGAAATTTTTAAAAAGTTACTTATACTCCTCATGAGATTAATAAGCCACACTTCATTTACTGTTTCATCCAAAGCACAGCATGGCTTTCAAACTGTTTGTTTGTTTAAAAAAAGCTTCAAGTATGGCATAGTGATAAAATATCTATTTTTAATTAAGAATAAAAGTTTGTTTAGAAAATAAAGATGGGAATTTGTGCAGGAGCCTACGATGGCCACTGTGCAGGAAATTCCAGTTACAATTTTTGTGAGTGAGATTGAGAGCCCACTCACACGGCACAACATATCTCTCTGGTGCCATTTCATCTGCTGTGGCTGCATCCCAGGGGATCTTGGAGTTTGGTGAGAAACCAGAACTCTTTGCCTTGTAAAAGCCCTTCCCTTAACTACAAATCCCAGGATTTCATGAGGTGTAAAAGTGATAGCTAAAGTAACACCGTAATTATGTAGCATAAATGAGTGTGTAATTTGAACTGAGAAGTTGGGCCTTTTTTAAAGTGTTTTTTTCTGTCTTTTAATATGCAAACTCTTGAAATGTGATTTCAGAATTTTAATCTATCTGTCTCTATGTGCATTAAATGTAATACAGTAGACTCTCAATTAACAGGCACCCATATGGATTGGTAGATGCACGATAAATGTAGTTTTGTGTTCCCTGAGAGCTACTGTTACAAATAGCCTAACTAACTACAATACTCAATGCTCTACCATACCATAAACTCTGTATTGACACAATATTAATGCTGAAATGCAGTAATTAAAAGCAAAGAAAAAAAACCTTAACATTACATTTCTACTAGAAATTGTTTTATTTTCATTTTAAAAAATATTTCTTTTAAAAAATTGTCCATTGTGTGAGAGTTCCGGTTGCTTGCATTCCAATTAACTGAGAGTCTGACTGTATTTAGAATGGCTACCATAAAGTTCCCTGAATAATTTCCACAAAAGTGCTTTGCTTTGTGCGTTTGACAACCTAAATGATGTAAGAATAGCAGTGATTTTCCAGAGCTTCCCTTGTACAATATGCTCTTCTCCCCATTTCTGTTCCTTGTTTACAGTGCTTCCTTCTCATAAAAGAGAAGGCACTGTATACACAGTGAATGTGTGTGTGTGTGTGCGTTGTCAAATAACACAACCCAACCAAAAGAAGTTTTTTTCTTGGTGTCTTGATTTTTAGGCTTATTCCTCGGGCCGTTTGGGGCACTGACTTAGAAAATTGCATTGGCTAGACTGCATCGGCTCTAGTTTTTTAGATATGGCTATCATGATTTTCAGTGGGAAAGCAGATGGCGATTGGTACTTGACATCTGTTCTATACCTCAAAAACTAGAGGAGATAGGGGGAAACTGGTGCTATTTTTGGAATCAGCAGGTCCTATATGCCCAGAAAGGGAGAACATTTGAGGCACCAAAATGTGTGTTGATGAGTTTAAACCCTGTTAATTTCATAGGTTCTTCTTAGGCAAAGCATACTCAGAGATGATCTTGCCAGCATATGAAATACTAAATTGGTATCACTGCCCCTCCCAATTTATTTAATTTTTTCATTTTGTGTAGATTAAGTGATAAACTAGTAAGTTGATAAAATAAATCCTTTTTTGTCTTTTGAATGCTGTCATTTCTAATTATTTAGTCATTTTAATTTGCTCTAGAAGTAATATTGCATATTATGTGTACCTCTTAACAAGTGTTGAATATATCATGTAGGTAAGAAAAAAAGTTTTCATAACATAATCTGCCTAGAGTTCTGAACTCCCATTTAGCTTTGTGGCATCCTTTTGTTTAAGGCGGAAGTTAACTCATCTAGAAAATCTGTTGCTGAACCAGCAAAGTTATCAGAACTAAGCCACTCGGACAGTTCCCCTGAACACCAACAAGAAAGTACAGTCCCAGCCTTCCAGGACACAATTGAAGTGGTGGGTATTAAACAAATATGGACATGATGCATTTTTCAAGAGGAGTAAGAGGAGAAGGATTCCTAATTTTTGTGTTGTTTGGAGATCAATTTAATCTTATTCATATTCTCAGAAAGGATTTACTCCTCACAGTTAGTGATAACTGCCCTTATATCTAGAATTTTTCATACCTGTGATCACATCATTGATAGCACAGCCCTACCAAAAACAGTCTTGATGTCTTGGTTCTTAGCACTGTTCCTGGAGTTATTTGGAGCACTGATTTAGAAAATTGCATTGGATAGACTGCATCAGCTCTAGTTTCTTAGATATGGTTATCAGATATGCCCAGAAACAGGTCTAACGTTTGAGGCCAGTGTCATTTGTAACTTTCCCTGTTGTTGGGTTTCATCCCAGGACTACAAAAGTCTTTGTTTCATCAAGTTTCCAAAACTCAATGAGTAGCTAGACTAGAGACAGGGCCAAGCACAGGGATTCCTTTCCCCACATTCCTTTGCATGTTTTTAAAGGGTTTTGTCTTTGTTTTTACTGCCAGCCACTGTCTCTCCCCCCCCCCTCCCCTTTAATAAATGTTTTCAACCTAAAGATTGACTTTGCAATCCTCAGCCATTCTAAAGATTAAAAGGCTCTTTCTACTCACCACATGTAAGTTTCTGCTGGTTATGGAGTTTACTCCTTGTACTCTGCTGTATTTTGATGGAATTACCCTAACTGAGAGTCATTTTTGAGCCTAACACCTCAGGTTCCCCAACTTCTGTTAATACTAGGCCCTATCAACTGATTTTTTTTCATGTGGAAGAAGTAAAGCTGTTGATTCCACACCCTCCTTTATTTACCATTTCTGTGTAAGCTGTCATCCAGAAAAATGTTATTTGTGATTATGCAGTTATTTATTATTTCCTTCTTAAATTGGTAACTGTCCCATAATAGGGGATGAATCAAGATTTTACTTACTAATTTTGGTTGTTCCTTAAAAATGTATTTTATCTCATTCTGGTTACTTTTTCATGTCAGGAGTGACTTGAGAAACTGCAAGTCTATTCTGATGTGAGAGAATTGGCTGTTTGCAAGGATGTTGCCCAGGGGATGCCCAGATGTTTAATGTTTTAGCACCCTTGTTGGAGGCTTCTCTCATGTCCCCATATGGGGAGCTGGAGCGGACAGGGGGAGCTCAACCCGCTCTCCCTGGATTCGAACCACTGACCTATCAGTCAGAGGTCCTGCCAGCAGAAGAGTTTAACCCATTGTGCCACCGGCGGTTCCATTCTTGTCACTGTGCTACTATAAGTGACACAGCGAGCCTGTTCTCTCGTATAATCTTTATGCTTTGTCCAGTATGTCCCCTATATCTGTGGAACTGCTGTCCATGGCTTCATTTGTCTACTTTGGAAGAAATACGGCCTCTCTAGACATTCTTCTTGGTCTTCCTGTGTAATTCCATGGAGCAGAAGTCCTTCATTTCAATAGCGTTTACCATTGTCTTCAGTTTAGTATACAGTATCTATGTGAAGTCCAGGAATGTTTCCACCAGGCAAATGGGAACTGCACTATATATGTAGCTCTGAGACCCAATATGGAGTAGTTGTTTGAGTGTTGAACTAGGAAACTGGGAGACTGAGGTTTGAACCCTGCTCAGTCTTGGAAACCCACTGGGTGATCTTGAAGAAATCACATTTAACTTCAGAAGAAGGCAAAAGCAAACTTGCTGTGAACAAATTATCTTGTTTTGGGCTCACCTTAAAGTTACCATAAATTAAAAAATGCCTTGATTGCAAACAACACAACAACAGTTGTAGATCATTCTTAAAAGGAGTTAAGTACAACTTATTGTGAGCTGAATGATCAGCTAAGTATTTGCTTTTTACTTTGAAATACTTTGCTATTTTGTGGGATATTCCTTATACTGTAAACTTGAAACATTTTTATATCACACAGCTTATCAGAATTCTCATTGAGGTCAGAAAATACACAATTTTAAGTCTCTCAGTGCCTTGGCTGGATGAGGGATAATGAAATATTTTATTTTTATTGCTTTTTATGGTCCTACTATTTATTCTTATTACAACCTGTGACTTTTAATACACATTATAAACCACTTCGGAGATTATGGAACAAAAAACAGCATAGAAATTTCTACATTAATAAATAATACTTTTCTTCTCCCTCCACTGTTCTAAGAACTTCAGTAAAGTATTGCGAGTAAAGACGCATCTGTCAGTTCAAAGATGTATCTTCAACTTCTGAGTCCTGCCTTTGGAAACCAAATGGGGCTTGTACAGAGGGAAGTTTCTTTCCCAAAATAGTATGGGACTTGCTCCTCAATGCTACAGTAGTTTTAGCCCTAAGCCTGAGAGACTTATGTAAATGGAACCAAAAAGACTCTGCACATTAGTGATTTTCAGCTTTTATTCTATTAAATATGCTTACCATGTTCCTTTTTTTCATCATCTCCAAAGTAAATTTGACCACATAAAGGGCAGTATTAATTCTGGCCGTTTTAAATCATTGTTAACTTAATTATGACATATTAATATGGTGAAAGAGAGTGCTTATATAACCCATCCACTTTGGAAGTAGCTGAGGCCTGATACTGGTACAGGGCAGCTGCTGCTATGACTGCTGTAGATGCAATCTAAATTCACGGACAAATTGTAGACAAATCCTTGTTAAGCTCTGTGTGTGTGTGTTCCCAGGGTTGATAGGAGTACAGATTGGTTAAAAAAAATTCATGTGAAATAACGTCAGACCATCTGTTGCCTGGTGAAGAGTATTTTCCAGCTATTTAGAAATGTGGGCATGCTAATATTATGCAGATTTTACCAAGAAACGTTCTCCTCTCTTTCGCATATGTAAAGAACTATGATTTGACTCATTCTTTGCAAGTCTCGTAATTCTTCAGTGCAGTGTGTGCGCTTTAAGCTCATCAGCTACAGTCACTGGAAATAATAGTATGTTGCCCTAGGACAAGGAAAAAAGTCAGCAATTGTTCAAATTAATCCTATTTTGAATGAAATTGTTTCCCCTTGCTGCTCATCAGTTTTATTCCATCTGTACTTGAATCTTCAAAATAGGTGCCATGCTTAAAACAAAACAAAAAGCCTTAACTTATTTATTTCCATTTGTTGCATATGACGGATGATTAACTACCCAAAGTAGATTAATATTTTAAGGGATCAGGATGTTGATCTCTCTGCATGTGGTATTGCTTCACTCGACATATGTTTGAAGAAGCCCATAATGCTGAGCTCTCCCTGGTCCAGTGAGAAGCAAACTCTGGTTGTTTTTGTATATTGTGAAGCCACCTTTTATTTGTTATGAGACAGATTCTGAAACAGAAGGACTTCCCCTTTTTTCGGCTTAATGATTGTCTGTAAATATCTAAGGATGTGTCTCCATAGATGTATCTCCAGTTGCATCCTTAATACTATATATTGTTGGCCGTATTTTATCAATGCTTTAGTGAGAATAACCAGTTGCAGGCATTTAAAAAAATATTTGTTTTATTTCTGTATAATACTAGGAGCCATATGTTCCCTGTGTGTTGTGAAAAATATGTGCCCTTGCTTCCGTAGTATTTGTCTGAGGTACACCACAGGGTATTCACAAATATTCTAATTTCTAAAACTGAAAAGGAAAAATGAATGTTAGACAGGAAGACTAAAGGCTGAGAAAATGGAAGCGTGCAAAGTAAAGTATTTTGTTTCACTTCTCTTAGGCACCTCCTTCCATGCAGGTAAATGAAACCCTACATTTTCTGCTTTGAAGTGGAATATATGGCAGTGTGGACTCAGATAACCCAGTTCAAAGTAGATATTGGGAGATTTTCTGCTTTGATATTCTGGTTTATATGGCCCAACTTTTGTATTCCATACATTCCGTGTTGCATTCAAATTGGATTCATTTGTGTTGTGTCCTTCATTGATTAGGTGGCAGCTCCAGCAATCTCATCCTGCCTGTCACTTTTGGGTTTATTGTTCAAATATGAAATTCATGGGTGTTTTCATTTTAGAGTGGGAGTTAGCAATGATGGAGGAGCAGGGCACATTTTTCACCTTGGATGTGACATGATGTAATTCAGTTTTGATTCCTGACTTTTTGTTTTTTGGAAGGTGTTTTAAGATATGTCATGATCATAAGGTCAAAAAAATCTTTTAACTGGGGAACTTGAAGATGCTGCAGAGTGGGACCTTTTGGGCTGTACATTTTCTCTGTACATTTTGGAGGCAATTTAGGTTTATAGGCACAGCATGGCTTTTCAATTTGCCAGTACTGTCCTCTCTTACCGTTCCCTCTGACCGTTCTGTGAATGTTACACTGTGTCTCAGCACTCTATCTATTCACACAAGTACCTTCAATGCAGATATTATTCAAAGGACAAATGAAAGTGATTGGGATTCATTTGTTTTGCTTTTCATATGTTTTATAAAGGAGTGTGCAACTTGTTTAATATAACACCTAGGAGTGGGGATGGCTGAAGGAAAGGCAGTATAGGGCAGGTAGAAATCCTGTGAAAGATATAAGGAACGGAAGATACAAAGTGATTTGAACAAAACCCTGACAACAAACCTTTGGATAGGAGATTCACATGCTAGAGGTTGAGTGGGTTTTTATACCAGAAGAAAAGAGGAAAGAAGGAGGCCTGTTGACAAACTCAGAGCCTCCAAATGATAGATACCTTCTAGCTTCCAGGTTGGAAACATCTGTGAAATAGTGGAAGTTGTAGATTTGGTGAGCCCAGAATGCATAGAGAATCTGAGAAGTGACCTATTAAACCAAAGCATCATTCGGTCAACCAATAGTTTCCTTCAGTGCCAGAGATCCAGTGTAGTCCAGCAGTAGAAGTCTGAGAGTCTGGCAAGGTGCTGAGTCAGTTGTCACTTCGCCTCCTGAATTTTATCTAAATGGACAGTGGGAGAGAGCTTTAGATTTCTGCACTGTATCCCACACTAGAGAGCAAGTTTATGTTGCGGAGTATGGGAGATCCCATGCTTGGGGGGAGCGGGGAGAGGAGGAAGCAGGCTTTCTTACTTATTTATCCAATATCCTTTCTTCCTCTCATTGCTTTTAAAATATTGTCACACTTTGTTGCATTAAACACTACATTTTCCAGTACTCCTGGGATAGTAGCCTTTTGAAAGTATTCTCCTTTCTGCTCTACTTTGAAAAACACATTCATTCAACCAAGATGACAGTTAACTGTTCCATTCTTTTAAATCCATTCCTCCTTTCCCACTTTCTTCTGTAGTCTGAAAATCAGTCCAACTCGGCCCCTTCAAGTCCTGAAAGCAACCCCCAGCCTGTGGCAAATGCTACTTCTCTGAGCCCTCGCCAGAGGCGTGCACAGCAGCGGAGGGTGCCGGCATCAACCAACTTCAACCAGGGTCAACAGCCGAGAGTCAACGCAGATCCTATAGAGTCAAACGTCCTAATTCTTGTTCTTGTTCTGGCATTAGCAGCACTTATATTTAGGCGTATATGTCTATCCAATGAGTATATATTTGAGTTATGATTTTCTCTTGTAATGTTACTTAATAATCTCTTTACTAAGGTATTGGATGTTGGGTATGAGGATTGTTTACATAAGGTCACTTTTTGTATTTACTCATTTTAAGTCCGAATGTCGCTGTACCATGGGGTACCGTAATATCTGCAAAAAGTGTGCACCTTAATATTGGTGTGAGTATGGACTATTGGCATTCTGTACCAACCAAGCAGATGACCTGCAGAAATGCTTTGACATTAACAGGACGTTTAGGCAATAAGAGGACTGGATGGATCACTTGTGAACTTTTGTGGATCACTTTTAACTGAAGAAAACAAGATAGTTGTGGTTTTATGCTTGAATGAATAAACTATAAAGGTTTGCCTGAATGAACTATAAATGTTTGCCTGAGAGGGATACATTGAAGTGCAAATATGTCTGCCTAGTAGATGTTATTAAACTGAACAGAGAAGGGAAGTCGCTAATATTTTGTAAGTACATTTATTTTTCACACAACAAATGCAGGGGGGAAAATCCTGACATTATGTCATCTATGGAAAAAGGGGCCAGAACATATTTGATTTTTTTTAAAAAAAACTAATTCTCTAGAAGTTAGAATAATATTTTGCGAGATTTAAATGTGATTTTCTGATATTCAGTTGTGTATATTTCACTTTTTTATAATTCCAGAATTGGTTATAACTATGTATAATTTACCCAGAACTTACTGACAGTGACATCCTCCAGAAATACATGTAATGCATTAAGTTAACTGTTTCATGTGCCCATTATTTAAAAAATAATAAAAGCAATTTCAAAATCTGTAAATAAGGATATGATGATTTGAGAAAATTGTCCATGAAATCTGTAAAGTGCCAAGAACAGAACATGTGAGTTTTATTTTAATTTTCTCTGATGGCTTAACAACTAATGAGTTGTAAAAGGAAAGTATTGCAGTTTTTCGCTGTGGAAGAGGCTAACCTTGTAAATATATTCCTTGTGCTAATAGGCAAGCTTTCGTGCAAATCAGGAGATTGGCGTTTCTGTTTACAGGACCATAATAAAATCTGGGACTTACAGTTCGCCCATATCCAGAGAACATTCTGAGCCTAACCAATGATGGATCTGGACCAGACTTAGCACACATACCCAACATGCTCAATTTTTGAGTAATAGTGGGGTTTGGAGGGAATTGACCTTAGAGGTTGGGAGTTGTAGTTCACTTGCATCTAGAGAGAACCCAATAAAAATTGACTTTGATCAACTTTGGCACATAGACCTAACGTGGTCAACTTTGAATGCTGGTGGGGTTTGGAGGGAACTGAGCTTGAATTTAGGAAGTTGTAGTTCACAATGAATCCGATGAACAGTTGATCTGGACCAAACTTGACACACACGCCCAACATACCCAACTTTGAATACTGGTGGGTTTGGAGGAAACTGACTTTGAATTTAGGGAGTTGAAGTTCATCCTCATCCAGAGAGCACCATGAACCTCAACCAGCAATTGATATAATAAAAGTCAAAATATGCATGTATGTAAATATGTGGGTGACAATATATGTTTGTGACCAATTTCCTATTGACTCCCACTTTCTTGGAAGCTTTTAAACAGAGGCTGGATGGCCATCTGTCAGGGGTGCTTTCATTGTGATTTTCCTGCATGTCTGGGGTTTGGACCAAGTGGCTCATGTAGTCTCTTCTAATTATATGATTCCAGAGAATATTGTAACTCCTACTGATGATGGACCCGGACTACACTTGGCACACAGAACACCCATGACCAAGAGAAAATACTGGAGGGGTTTGGGGGGATTGACACTATGGTGGGAGTTGTAGTTCACCCTGCATCCAGAGAGCCCTCTGAGTCCCACTGTCGATTGGGCTGGGCTATACTTGGCACATAGACACACATACACCCCACCCCCACACACACCTTCATCAACAGAAATAGAGTGGATTGAGGAGAATTAACTTGGCATGATGTGAGTTGTAATCAACCCACATCCTCATACACATATTTTCTTAATGGGACCATTTATAATATCCCTAAAAGACTTTTTCTAATAAATAGTGTTACAAATTACCAAATATCTAACAGGTATTGCCAGGTACCTAAGCTAGTATATAATAAAGTTCATATTTGACTTTAGCACTTGTTTTGAGTTTATCTTTTGGACGGGCGGCGGGGGATCAATTTTTTGACAACTGCAGAAATCCTGGAAGCTTCTCTGGGTTTAAGAAACAAAATAAGAGTTGCCTCATGATTCAGGAGTTCAAGGATCCCCATGATACTTGATCTTGTCATGACATTGGTTCTTGTAGGTGATTCCAAAGCAGTGGATAGAGCATTTAAGCATCATGGTGGAATTTCCCCCCCTCTTTCTAGGACTTCTTACAGGATTTAAGAAGGCAAAAATATGTGTGTCCCCCCCCCCCTATTTGTTTAAAGAAATAGGGATAGAATGGGACATGAGGGCAACTGAAGATTTATTGAGAATCCTGCCTCAACCCACCTTCCCATCTGCACAAGTACATTTCTAGCATCAGAGGGTGGACCTACACTGTAGAATTAATGCATTTTGATGCCACTTTCCCTGCCATGGCCAAGTGCTATGGAATTTCTTGGGGTTGTAATTTAACAAGTAATTACTCTTTGCCCAAGAGAGCTGCTAGCTCACCATACTACAATTCCCAGGATTACAACTTATAGCAGAGAGTTGGCATGTCTGCATTTGTGAAAGTTTACTGTTTTTATTGTCTCCCTATAAAAATTTCCTTCAGTTCCTAATTCTCACGCATTGCAACATAAGCCTTCAATTGAATATTTAGAAGTGAACTTGGATATCCAATTATGAAAGACCGGCACAGTTCCAAAGGGAATGTCAACATAGCAAATGTAAGAATTGGGAATGGTTTTCAGTATTCTCGCTCACTGCTATGGTCAGCAGTTTGAATCTGGGGAGTTGGGTGAGTTTCCGCTATTAGCCCCAACTTCTGCCAAGTTTGAAAACTTGCAAATGTGAGTAGATCAGTAGGTACTGCCTTGACGGGAAGGTAACGGTGCTCCATGCCGTCATGCTGGCCACATAACATTGGAGCTGTCTATGGACAATGCTGGCTCTTTGGCTTAGAAATGGAGATGAGCACCACCCTCCAGATTTGGGCACGACTAGACTTAATGTCAGGGAAAACCTTTACCTTGTTCATATTTAGAGGACATTTACATTTTGCCCTACCCACAGTTCTGTTACTTCACTTCAAAATGAAGTTTGCTGCACCATAAATATTTAGACCCCAGTTGAAGGATAGTTTCACACAATGTGGGTAGCAAAAATGCTACAAGATCCCTTTGCGTACTGATCCAGACTAGCCTGGCTATGCCTTTGAATTCTTGTGTGATGCCATTGTTAGCCTTCATTCTCTTTAAAAAGATTACAGACATCTGGATCAAACAGGAAATTGAAAAGGCATTTTTGATCTCAAGAGAGAAAAGTTTTCTAAATTTATAAACATATATGCACAGATCTGTGGGTGCCAAGCTTGGGACGAAGCAGTGGCGCAGTACAAATTCCTTTTATAGGACTCTCAATACAGGTGCCTCCCCTAAAGTTGTCAATCACACTATTGGTCAGGTAAACATCAGCTTACATCTTTTTCTTTCCCCTTGTGTTCTGCTCATTGAATGTGTCTAACATCTTCTATTCTCACCCTTTCTGCAGCAGGCAAGGCTATTCCCCTATATTGCTTGGGCAAAGAGGAGACACTTCTCTCTGGTCATGACAGCCCTTCTTTGGCAAAGTGTGTGAGCATGAGATGCCAGCAAAATGACAGAGGGGCTGTCACCATGGCCCACAATTTATTCAGTCTCCCTAATAAAAAGCAGAGGCATGGGTTTACACAGTCTGACAGAAGGCATGCACAGTTCAGAGATTAAGGGTTTGAGCAAAACTCTGGCAGATGGAGCTTCATTCTCTTTATCCCCTGGCTTTCTGCAAAAGCCCTCATTTAGGACCCTGTGGAAATGTCGCTGGGTGAATCTAACTTCCCACAGGAGTAATGGCCAATCACTGAGCACAGACGAGGAGAACAGCTTTGAGTTCAGAAACCCTGGGAAGCTGGTTGAAAACATTAAATCAGAAAGAAAGGAGTGTTTGCAACAATGCTCATTGTGGCAAATGCAAGGCTTGAGAGAAGCAGCCGATTCGATGTTTAAACCGGGATGTATTTCTGCGGCAGGAGGTTATTGGACTGACAAGCAGGGGAGCAGTGATAGCCTCAGCATGCCACACTCTGCAAAACTGATTCTGCTGATCTTTTGCTTGGTCCTCCTTGCGGAGAGCAAGAAGCACAGGAGGAGGAGATGGACAGGACAAGTCGAAGTGCAGAAAGCAAGGTATCGATGTTAAATATACACTTGGTTCATTATTTATCTTTACCAAAGCATTTTAAAGCACTGTGTACTAATGTGTGTTGTGTCAGAGGAGTTTGCATTACAGCTGTCATTGTGAGAAGCAAGCAAGACAGTCGTAGTGATCCTAAATTGGATAAATTACTTTTATTTCTGCCTTCAGGACAATTGTAACGAACAGGCTATGTTTCCAGTGAGTTTAAAATCCTTGATTCTGAAACATGAAACATCGGACATAGAAGTCTCTCTCCTGCTCACTTACTTTGAAAATAGACCCACTTACGTGAGTGGGAACTATTTTTATTGTGACTAAATATTATTTAAGATCAGAAGGCTCAAAAAAATATCTTACTTCTTGCAATTTATGTATATGCAGGGTGAATTTGTTCATGTCCATTTAAAGCAGTGGTTCTCAACCTTCCTAATGCTGCAACCCCTTAATACAGTTCCTCACGTTGTGATGACCCCCAACCATACAATTATTTTCATTGCTACTTCATAACTGTAATTTTGCTACTGTTAAGAATCGTAATGTAAATATCTGATATGCATGATATATTTTCATTTACTGGACCAAATTTGGCACAAATACTCGATACGCCCAAATTTGAATACTGGTGGGGTGGGGGCTTGATTTTGTCATTTGGGAGTTGTAGTTGCTGGGATTTATAGTTAACCTACAAGCAAAAAGCATTCAGAACTCCACCAACAATGGAATTGAACCAAACTTGGCACACAGAACTCCCATAACCAACAGAAAATACTGGAAAGGTTTCGTGGGCATTGACCTTGAGTTTGGTAGTTGGAGTTCACCTACATCCAGAGAGCACTGTGGACTCAAACAATAATGGATCTGGACCAAATTTGGCGTAAATACTCAATATACCCAAAGTGAACATTGATGGAGTTTGGGGAAAATAGACCTTGACATTTGGGAGTTTTAGTTGCTGGCAGTTAGAGTTCACATACAACCAAAGAGCATTCTGAACCCCACTGATAGAATTGGGCCAAACTTCCCACACAGAACCCCCATAACAACAGAAAATACTGTGTTTTCTGATGGTCTTTGGTGACCCCTCTGACACCCCCTCACAGCCCCAGGGGTCCCAATCTCCAGATTGAGAAATGCTGATTTAAAGAAATGTGGCACTTTGCTTATTCCCAAATCTATACACAAAGGATTGCAAGTTGCTGATTTGTCTGCTTTTTGAACATTTTTGAGATATGCTTTGGAATACTTAATGTGAACTTGAGCAAGTATGAATATTTAGACAATTGGATTTTTTTAGTGTGCAGATGATTTGTGACCTTCTTTTTTCTTTTCTGGAGTGGGAAGGAAAACATGTACCAGATAGCTAAAAGGTTTTAGTAAAGTTTATCAGATTTAACATTTCAGAGGCAAGGTTATTTATTTACATTAGAAAAGATAATCTTCCAAAACCTACCAAGCTATCCTAGATATATTATCCATTTCTGAGTTATGTCATTGATTGACAATTGCAACTTGTAAAACCTTTTGCCTGGCAAAGACCTTGTAAACAAAGTTGGGTTAATCTGTCTCATTGAACAGAAACACTGCGACCTTTATCTTTTTATTGGTGTGTTGCCTTGAGCACAACATTTTGAAGCAAGTTTAGACTTTTGTGGATACTTTTTTCCCCATAAGGCAAATCTATAGTAGTTCATCTAGTGTGTAAGATCTGACAGAGGCTTACTTAGGGTTTCAAAAATTCTGTTCATGAGCTTTGTAAGAGATACACAGTGAATGCGATTATTCCTTTTATTTGTGACATTAACAAATGTGTATGGCACTGCAGATGTTGCTATTCTATTTTTTTTACAAAGACATATTGATTAAGTTCTTGAAGCTAATAGTTTAATTTACAGTTTGAAGTGCAGTCCATGATCCAAGTAGGGCTCTGGAAGTAAGTTTATTCAAACTATGGAAGTAGAAGTTATTGACAATGTGCAAGAAATAGGACCCTATGCATGGCATACCTTATTTATGAATTTATTTTTTACTTTAAGGTAAAGGTTTCCTCTTGACAGTAAGTCTAGTTGCATCTGACTCTGGGGGTTGGTGCTCATCTCCATTTCTAAGTTGAAGAGACGGCGTTGCCCGTAGACACCTCCAAGGTCATTTGGCCAGCATGACTACCTGGAGTGCAGTTACCTTCCCACAGGAGTGGTACCTATTGATCTACTCACATTTGCATGTTTTTGAACTGCTAGGTTAGCAGAAGCTGGGGCTAACAGCTGGAGCTCACCCCACTCCCCGAATTTAAACAGCCGACCAACCAGTCAGCAAGTTCAGCAGCTCTGAGGTTTAACCCACTGTGCCACCAGGGGCTCCTTATTTTTACTTTAAGGTGGCTATAAACCTATTTTTCTACAAAAAAAAAAAAGGCTCCCAAATGAGCTTATAGAAGATGAATGGTAGCTTATGAGGACTCATCCTGCAGTTGGGGGGTGAATTGGCTATTTTAACCCTGGCTCTATATATAGAACAGTATTTCAAGATCAATAACAAACAAGGAAATCCCTGCCCCAGAAAGGATATAAAGGAATAGATAAAGGGAACAATGAAGACACCACTTCTGAGAGTTAGAAAAAGTTACTTCAGATAGCCTTCCTGAATGCAGACAGTGGGCTATGCTGTCTCACCTGCAGACAAATGGCATGGCTGGAGATGGATGATCATTGAGGGTGCTGCCTTTTACTGTACTCTTTTAGAGGCCGTGAATGTTTTATCAGGGGGAAAGGGAACTTTTAAATATAATTTAAATTATATTTTATTATATTTTAACTGTATTTTAACTTCTGCCTCTATGTCACAAATATTTAATTGCTTTTTAATTTTTGTATTCATATGTATTATAGTCGCACGGAGAGACACCAACACATTTTGGCAGAGAAGGCTAAAGCCCTTACAAAACCACAGCTCCCATATTTCTATAGCATTGAGCCAGAGCAGTTAAAATGGAGCCAAACTGCATTAATTCTACAGTGCAGATGCAGCCAGAGTAGCACATACAGGACTAACCTTTTTGATAAATCCAGTAACCTTGTGTCCAAGATTATTAAACATTTCAAATTCTAAATTATGAGATAGTAACTTCCCCAGAGCCACTCAATGAATTATATAGTTTTCTGAGGACTAGATGAATTGTTAGTTCCAACCACCGTAATTCCGGTGAATAAGTTATGCAAGTTCCTATTATTCAATATTTTTCTTCTAGTTGGGATCAACAGTTCAACCAATCTAAGACTCAAAAGTGCAATGTATTTTATCACAGTAGTGTCCAAGGGGCCACCCAGAAAGACATCTTCATGCCACGGTGGGGAACCTGAGCTCCATGGGATAATTAATTGCCTTTATTTAGATTAATTGCCAGATAATAGGAACTGTGGGGGTTGAAGTCCAACACACCTGAAGGGTTTGTCCATATCTGTGCTAGAGTATTTAGAAATGGGTGCTCCGTTAATTGTATCACTACAGAGTACAGGTTGAGCATCTCTAATCCAAAATCTGAAACTTTTTTCTGACAGCCACGTGTCTCCTCTTTCAAAGCAGTGGCTGTGGCGTACCCGCTTCTTTATTCATGAGGAGTAAGTACGGAGGTGTTGGGTTCCTTGGAGATCTTCTGTAGAGTACTGTATTCCACCTCTTCATATCAGTTCTGTTATACCATCAGTCCTTCAGATCCTCGGTCTCTTCCCAGTCTCTTGTTTCACAGACCACAGAAATAATGGACAAATGAGACACAAGGTTGGAGATATAGGCAAGGCGGGAGAGAGACATGGGGATCCGTGAAATGGTGAGAGGCATGGATTCATGCCAAGCACTTTGCTTGGAGTCCTGCCATTTCACAGATATCACAAAATCCAAAATTATAAATTAAAAAATCCTAGTATCAAGCATTTCAGATGAGGGACACTCAACCTGTATGTCTACAAAGAACCAAGTCTGTCAAGTGCAGCTTTGCTTATTGCAGTACATCAGTGAGGCTAGTTTTGCCCAACTTCTACTTATCTGGGCAGCATACAACCCCCTGTTATGCCAGTTTCACTGGTTGCCAGTCTGCTACCAAGCACAATTCAAAGTGATCACTTTAGCCTACAAAGTCCCAAACCAGTTGTTCTCAAACTGAGGTCCACAGATGTTTTTGGCCTACAACTCCCAGAAATCCCAGCCAGTTTACCAGCTGTTAGGATTTCTATGAGTTGAAAGCCAGAAACACCTGGAGACCCCAGGTTGAGATCCACTGCCCTAAATGGTTCTGGCCCAGCTTACTTGTCTGAACGTATCTCCCTCTATGAATCATCTAGAAGGCCAAGATCTTCTTGAGAGGCCCTGCTCTCAGTTTCACTTCCTTTGCATGTGTGGTTGGTGGGGGCAAGGAACAGGGCCTTCTCAGTGGTGACCCCTCATCTGTGGAACTCCTTTCTTAGTTAAATTAGATTAGCTACCTCCCTCTGGGCCTTTAGGGAAAAAAACTAACAACCTGACTATGGAACCAAGCTTTCAGAGAGTAGCACAGTACAATAGACAGCTACGAAGTGATTGTAACACGATTTGAATGGCTCCTGGATTATGACTTTGAATATTTAGTTATTTTAACAGTTTATTTTAATGTACTGATATGTATGATTTTTCTGATTTTCTACTGATTTTAATTTATGGTGTGTATTGTATTTGTATGCTTATGTTTGTTATGGCATTGAATTATTGCCAATCTGGAAGCTGCTCTGACTCCCCTTCGGGGTGAGATAGAGTGAGGTAAAAATAAAGTAAATAAGTAAGTAAATAAATAAATACATAAGTTAAAATTCACATGAATAGGTTTATAGACGAAAGGTCCATTTCAGTTCCTCAGACTGTTGGGGGCCAGACAATAGTTTGAAAAAAACACGAACCAATTCCTATGCACACTGCACATATCTTATTTGTAGGACAAAAAACCACGAAAGAACAATACACTATT